AAAAAAAAAAAAGTAAAAACAACAACAACAACAAATGTACTATGTTCTCTCACATCTAAAGATGCTGCTTCCTTTGTCTAAGATATTTCACATTGCATACTTCTTTCCCTGGCTCCTCCTCGCCTTTTACTTGGCTTACTTCTGCTGTTTCAGGATTTTCCTGAGAAACCTTTAATTATACCTTCATTGACTCCAACATCTCACTGCCAAACATGCCAATAGAGTCTGCCTTAAATGTACCTCCTCTGAGCTCTTTTAGCTATGTATGCATGCTTATGTCCTTTTAAAGTTCTTTATACTTACCTCTTTCCTCCAGAGAACCTGGATTCACTTCGGGACCGTCTTTCATTTTCTTTGTGTTCTCAAGTATAGTGTAATACCTGCCACGTAATAGGTGCTGTGGAGATGTTTGCTTAATGAATAAATGAAAAATGAGTCTTCATAAAGTATCAGAGAGAGCAAACGTGTTTTTTTATGGTAAGAGAACTTGGGTTTCTCCATGTGGATCAACTGTGTTCAATTGATAATGTCTGCCTAGAATATTCCATGAATTATTAGCCATTTTGCCATGGCTACAGGAGAGGAGGCATGTTGACTTTGACATCTCAGTGTTTCACCAGTACATTGGTGCACAGATGATACAAAGGTGCATGAGACACATGAAATAAATGACACAAAGTGATCCATGAAGTATAAGCATAGACTTTCAATGAAATAGAGGTGGTTCAGGAAAGATATTTCCTGAATAAATATGATTATTGTTGTTGCGTGCTGTTGAGTCACTTCTGACTCATAGCTACCCTGTATAGGCTTTCTGAGGCTATTTATCTTGTGGTAGCAGAAAGCCTTATATTTCTCCCGCACAGCAACTGGTGGGCTTGAACCGCTTATCTTGTGGTTTGCAGTCTTGTGCCTATTGTATAGAGTCACCACACTCCCAAATATGTGATGAAAGCTGGAAATACATGAATAGAAATTATAAGGCATGTTTAAAATAAGTGATAAACTAATGAATATTTGAAAGTTAGCAAGAATTTGCCAACATTTTCTTTAAAATTTAAAGTTTAATATTTAAATTTTAGATAATATGTTTATATTTAGTAGTATGTGTTGGAGTTTTCAAAGTTTCATTGAAGAACTACTTTTAATGCCTAGGTGTAAGATTTCTTCCAAAATGAATGCCTTGAAAATAATATTTTCCTTTATTACTTAGAAAATAGAGAAATTCAAAAAATAAAGAAATTTTACCTATAAACTATGTTTTAGAGAATCACATTGTTTTGTATAGTTTAGTAGAAACATTATGAGGAAAGTAAGGACTGCTGTTTATGCAGCAGCCTCTACTTTGTCTTTTTTATGGGCTCGTCAAATGTACCTGTCAATTGGCTTACTTTCTTCTGGTTTCAGCAGCGTTATGCTTTGTAAGTGTTTTACTGCATCTCCCATAGGCCAGGCTTACTTTCTGTACAATAAATTTGTAATTTTTTTCTTTCCTAAATGAAATCTTTTGCCCATTATACTTTGTTAGTCCCATGTTTATTTAGGACTGTTTGTGTCACCATGTTACATATTTCTATTTTAGCAAAGACATGCCTACGGAGGAAAATTCCCCAGTGAACATCATATGTTCCCCAATTTTCTTCTTCCTATATCTTTCTCCTTTGCAGTAGAGAAGCTGCTAAAATATTTCCTGTTATAATTTATAGTTTCTCTGATGCTCGTTGAGTAATAATACACTTTACATAAATAAAAATTGTTAATATTTCATTTTAATAATATTTTAATAAAGTTCCAATTTTTAAGAATATAATGATAACCACAAGGTAATAATTTCCCCATTTTATAGATTTTCAAAACTGAGGCACCGAGAATTTATGCAACTTGCTAAGCTCATCAGACCTAATACATATTGAACTGGAATTCCCAAGCAAGAAGTTTAGTTCTCTGTGTTCTTAAACTTTATACTATATCAACTCTGATGAAAGTATACATGGTGTCAAATATGTGTATGAGGTCAATAAATTTTAGTTGTACAAATGAGTTAAATACCTATATTCAGAATAAAATATTACATACATGAAACAGAAATATGTAATTTCCTGTGGAATGAAAAAGTTTTCTTATATCCATTTTTATAAGAAAAATTATAATCTCAAAATTATTTTATTAATTTCAAAATAATGGAAAAAGAAAATTCAGGTATAAAAATGTAGGACATAAAAGTGTATGTAAGCAAATGCTATCTAAGTATAATTAAAAATATTATAAGGAAATACATCAAAGTCTTAATAGTTGTAGCCTGGATACTTCCTATACACTCACCTTTGCTTGCTGCTTAAGTTTTCATTAATGGGTAGCTAAGGAGCTCTTGTAAGGAGCTCTGGTAGCGTAGTGGTTACGAATCAGGCTGCGAACCTTAAGGTCAGCGGTTCGAAACTACCAGCCACTCTGTGGGAGAAAGATGAGGCTTTCTACTCCCGTAAAGATTTACACCCTCGGAAACCCTGTATAGGGTCCTATGGGTCGGAACCAACTCGACGGCACTTAACAACAACAAGGAGCTCTGGTAGTATAGTGGTTATGAATCGGGCTGTGAACCTTAAGGTCAGTAGTTTGAAACTGCAAGTTATTCCACAGGAGAAAGATGAGGCTTTCGGCTCCCGTAAAGTTTACAGCCTTGGAAACCCTCTACAGAGTTGCTGTGAGTTGGAACTGACTCCAGGGTACATCATGACGATGATTGTTTTTAATAATGATGATAAATAATAGATTGTGTTTGCAAATTGGGAGCATATGGCTTATTGTACATTAGAAAAAATGTTTAGTACCTATACAGTGAAAAAACACTAAGGAGCATTTTTATTTTTAATCATTCTAAAGATTTTGTTCTGTTGTGCATAGACTGACTGAGTCGGAACCAACTCTGTGGCACCTAACAACACCAAAGAATCAGCTTGTAGTAGACAACAAAGATTGTTAATTTTTTAACTAAGTAGAGATTTATTTAAAATGTTCATTCTCAGAATTTTCCAAGGCACTGACATTTGACATACACTGTTTGAAATTAATAAACTTACGGTTGTTGTTGTTGTTAGGTGCCATTCAGTCAACTCCGACTCATAGTGACCCTCTGCACAGCAGAACTAAACACTGCCCAGTCCTGCATCATCCTCACAATTGTTATTACACTTGTTGCTATGGTGCTAATCCATCTCATTAGGGGTCTTCTTTTTTCTGACCCTCCACTTTACCAAGGGTTCCTTTTCTAGGGACTGGTTCCTCCTGATAACACGTCCATAGTACGAGAGACAAATCCTTGCCATCTTGACTTCTAAGGAGCATTCTGGCTGTACTTCTTCCAACACAGATTTGTTTGTATTTTTGGTAGTCCATGGTACTTTTAATAGTCTCTTCTGACACCATAACTCAAGTGTATCAGTTCTTCTATGGGATTGTCTTCCTTACTCATTGTCCAACATGCATATGAGGCTATTGTAAACACCATGGCTTGGGTTAAGCACAACTTAGTCCTCCAACTGATAATTTTGATCTTGAATACTTTAAAGCATTCTTATGCTGCAGATTTACTTAAGACAGTATGCCTTTTGATTTCTTGATTGCTGCTTCCATGAGCATAGATTTTGAATCTAAGCAAAATTAAGTCTATGACAACTTAGTTCTTTTCTCCATTTGTCATGTAGTTATTTTTTGCTCCAGTTTAGCATTCTTTACATTGTTTAAGGAGTTTTGCATTCTTTACATTGAAGCATAACCCATATTAAAGGATGTGGTCTTTGATCTTCATCAGTTAAGTATTTTAAGTGCGCTTCACTTCCAGAAATCAAGGTTGTATCATCTGCGTATCGTCAATTGTTAATCCTGATGCCACATTCTTCTTTCTATAATCTGGCTTCTCTGATTATTTGCTCAATATACAGAACTAGTATGATGAAAAGATACAGCTGTGGCACACACCTTTCCTGATTTTGAACCATTCAGTATATCTTCATTCTAGTTGAAGGACTGAGTGCCTCTTGGTCTGTGTACAGGTTTCTCATGAGCACAAT